GATTCAAGAGTCTTGCTGCACACTAGAAAATTAAATAATGAAATCAGATTACAACATCATTAGCTTAGCCTGGAACAGTTTGTATCTACAAATCCATTTTCAAAAGGGTCTGACATTTGCTTTGAAGCCAGTTTCAGTGCAGAAAGTAGTGTGTAGCAGGACTCTTGAATCACTTGGGATAGTTATCTTTACTCTTCCTACAGCATCTTTGCATAAGGATCCATCGGCGCAAAAGCATAGGAGACGGAGATGTAGTTAGTCTCGCAGAAACAATATCAGATAACTTTGTTACGATTTCAAAGAACCGAAATATTCTGATTCGTCATGCTTACACAATTAGTTAAACCCTGGGCTAGGGAGTGAACTTTGAACTTGAGATATCTTTAACAGTCAAACACGATTAAGTTTCAATCGCTAGGCCATTTTAATAATGTATCTCTAGTTTAGAAATTTATTAATCGGCATGAGATAACAATCTCAGAATATAAATTTTAAGCCTCTCATTCTAATCAAATAAATTCTTGTTGGTAGTTTCCTGTTGTATTGATCAGTTCAAAGCGTCAGAGAAGTTTCAAAGTCATCATGGTTTATGATGTCATACATTGATGACACGACTTTATTGCAGACTCGCATTGTGTTTTTAGGTTCGAGATTAAATTAAGCTAAAATAAGTAAGTTTTTATAGAATTATTCAAGAAATGGGAGGAGTATGTGTCACCTTGTTTTGAGCAAATTAGATTAAAATACTTCTGTTATTTCTAAGAACTTAGTTGTGTGAATTTCGCTTCCTCATATTTGTTTTACTGGTCACCTGGACTTGAAGCATCAATTGGTTCCTTCAAAAAAATTTCATGTCAAATGCAAAAACTGGAATTGTCTTGAATTCAGGTTTTTTATCATTACCATTACAATAGTTGTTACAAAGTAACGTAATTTTGACATCTTAGAAGTGGTTGGAATGGGTATCAAATTTCAGTCTACAAAGCCCTGAGGCTGGCTTTATAAATATTTAATGGAGAATATCTTTGTGGCAACTATAATTCCAATGATATTGCTGTGTCATTCTCATGATACCTGTGTCGTTCAATTTGTTTTTCATAATTCTTCATCTTTCCTGTTCAGCAGTTCCTAATTAAAACATGCTAGATCAGGGGGTGCGCAACCTGCGAAGAAGTGCCAATTTCGAATAGTGTGCGGCCCACAAAACAAGTTTTTCAATCTGTATAATCTGGCAGGTGCGGTAACTCCAATTCCTTCGCGCTGCAAAGGATATACCTTAGTCCAATTTATTATCTATGCTTATGATGTTACAATGCCCTAATAGCACTTTTGTGCAAAGTTAACAACGCATTTCACAAGATCAATAACCAAAATTTTTGTGTCTTTTAACTACTAGAAAGCCTATGTTAATTAAATAAATTTGGGGCCCGCGGTTTCCACATCCAGTTATTTGTATCTGGCTCATCTGTATTAGTAAAGGTTGTATGCCCCCCTGATATACCGCTGCCCTATATGACTGGGGGGGATTGGAATTTGAGATACTTGATATACCAACTTGGTTAGCTCTATCTCTCTAACTAACCACTTAGCCAAGGGTTTTTAATCTTTCTGGTGGAACGAAACCCCGATGAAAGGTTGAAAAAAACCTGCCTATGCAATAGTTTAATTGTCTTTTTATGTGAATTGTACTATAAATATAATATAGAAGCAAACCTGATACTGGCGAAATCAAATGATCGTTGTAGTTTGATGTTTATCAATAATGAAGAACTGGATTTTATTATATTGAATCAATATAAAAGTATCACTATATTAGGACTTTCGGATTTGAATGGAAACTTGTGAAACCCTTGGACTGGCAGAAAACTACTGCACTTGGTCATCACAATTTAGCCAAATGAAGCTCAAAATCAATGCAATTTCCAGAAATATGAATAGAAGAATAAGGACACAGGTCAAAAATGAAAATAAAACCTTAAAAAACAGCCATAAATGTATTGGGGCTCCCGAAGTATGCAAACCAAGATGGCGGACATCGGAATGTAATATGTGTACTAGGTTAGGGTTAGGCCATAATTTTAGGTATAAATACTACGGGAGGCTCTTGGCTAGTCTTCGAACTGATAATAGGACTAAAATTGGAAAAAAATCATCGCCTAACCCTAACCTGTTACCCATGTTACGTTCCGATGTCCGCCATCTTGGTTTGCATACTTCACGAGAACCAATGTATTTTATGGGTCACCAGCTGTAGGGGCAGTTTCTCAATATTAGAACGGTGCGAGAGCCCTATAGCTAATCATGGTTGTTTCTGAATATTCAATCTATTTTGGGTGTAATACAATGACTCAATATTTTTGTTTATTTACACAACACTCACTTCTCACCACGACACATAACTCAACATCTGAATATACCTCCAGGCATCAGTTTATTTTAAGAATCTTTGTGGTTTGTGAGTCGGCTATGGAACTGGAAATAAAAATCATACGCGATTCAATATTGTAAAAGAGAAAATAATGATACTTTACCAAATTCAATTTCTAAAAATCAAATTATGACAAATGTCTTGCGTATAATGCAAGGATGCTGTAGCCGGAATAAACATGGCTATACTATGCAATTCAAGAGACTTGCTGCACACCAACACGAGTGTATTTCTGTAACGTTTCCTCTGACCAAAATCAGACTTTACTTGTCTGAGGAAGTCTGATTTTGGTCATACTAAACATTACCATTTTGATAACTTTAATAAATTGTGAGTTTGAATCGAAGACCTTGTCCTTTAGTTACCCCTCTCATGGTTACCAGGCTGATTTATAGCAAAGCATGCGTTTAGCCAAGCGAGTGCATACAATGATATAGACCAAAATCAGACTTTACTTGTCTGAGGAAGTCTGATTTTGGTCACACTAAACATTACCATTTTGATAACTTGAGTCTATAATAAATTGTGAGTTTGAATCGAAGTCCTTAAGTTACCCCTCACATGGTTACCAGGCTGAATTATAGCAAAGCATGCGTTTAGCCAAGCGAGTGCATACAATGATATAGACCAGGGGCGGGCAATTATTTTTCTCAGTAGGCCAGTTACAAATAATAGATTTGGTCACTGGAGACTCAAAACAGTTCATTTGCAAATAACAAGCATAACAGCTAATGTTCAACAAACAGCCAGTGTACCAAGTGGCACAATGGTATTCAGGTGCAAATAATATGTGATCTATATTTTAGGCGATGATTGGTTATTTTCATCGAAATATCCAACACAAATTTATAGCCATGAAAACCATAGTCATAATTGATAAGGCACAAGTGGGCCGGATAAAACACTTCGGTTAGCCGTAATTTGCCCACTCCTGATATAGACCCTATTCTTATTTATGAAACCAATCTAAAACCAGTTCAAAGCTTTATATATAAGATGAACAAGATAAAATTTGAAAGTCTGATGGCTTTGCCCATTAATTTTAGGACTTACATAATAAAGTGGATTGTCAATTCAAAGATTTTTATTTTTGCAGTTTTAAATTTAAAAATTCATGAACTTTATTATTTATTCTACAAAACAAAGAAATCGGAAAATCTTTGCAACCAAATACTTCAGAGACTTTTCTTGGGATTTCTAAAATATTTTGAAATATTCAACATACCGGTAAATCGGATTTTATCGAGGACTGCAAGCAAGAGGGATTATTTTACACGAGACGTAATGAACGTAAGGATGAAGAAATTGAAACGTAGATTCTCGTTTTCGTTACGGCAGAGTCGAAGTTTTATCGATGATTCAATCTCAGAACTTACAGAACAAATGTCGATCGATGAAGCGAGCGTCAGAGAGAACGGAGGTGAGGTCAAAGTTCAATAGTTACTTTTCAAAGATGTTTGTTCACATGTTTGACCAAAAACAAGGCTATGTACAAGCATCCACTAATACCTTGGAAGATTCTTATATAAAAAAAATCACTCCTTACGTAGCACCGCCTCTCAGAGTGTCTTGTTTGGTGTGAAAACTTCATGAAAAAAATAATACTTAGATTACCTTGTGTGGAAAGTTGGTTAGCTGTATCTGGGGCAACACATCGGTCGTGATCACCATGTCTCGAGTAGTCGATCATGTCTGATGTTGACTGAATTTGATAACATACCTCCTATATTATGTATGACCTCATTACCGATTAGTCAATCACAAGCTATTTTGACAAATTATGTTGATCATGGTCAAAAACAGGTTGGCTCTCGTCTCATTACAGCATACATAAATCAATAGAAGGACTCTCACATAACCTCGGCCAATATGCCATGGCTAAATTATATAAAGATTTGTTTCAACAACATGAAAATTTAAAATAACTGCTAATTATAAGATCATTATTTATTTAGAACATGTAGGAGAGATTTCTCGCTATCGACTAGGTCAAAAGAATTTCGAGCTATCAACCAAGTATTATTTTAAGGAGAAGGCTTGTAATAAAATCATTTTTAAAATTGAGGCCAAGTCTTATTTTCAGGGAAACACAGTATTGGAAACATGTGGTTCAATGGTTTGTTGGGACTTCATTTGGTGATTCTCTTGATTTTTTCCTCTTTTGATATTATTTCACGTCTTACTTACAACTCGCGTACTCTGAATACAGGATTTAATGACCTGACATAACAAGCAGACACTGATATGTGACGATATATAAGGAGTTACTATTATTTGAAATGACCAGAATCTTTTCGGTTTGCCATTTCCTATTCAATTTATCACACCATGGGGTGAGATGGGGGTACCCGTTCTGAACCCGGGATGTGCGAGGCCAACACAGTTGAATTTTACGTTTTAATATTAACCACTGGGTTATCGTGGAAATTTCTCTTTTTTTAATTACTAGTTCTGCTCGTTAATTAATTAAGCAACACTCTGTAAATTGAAATTTTATTTTAAAAATCGCAATTTAACAGAAAACAACTGCCAGTCTCACTGAGCAGCTCCATACATTGCTAAATAACACTTTTTATTAACCTTCAAATTTCCAGGTAAAGCACCAAATGGTTCAGGAACTCAGCCAAAATGTTCCAGGGTTGGGGGAGAAAAAATAAAAACCAGAAACATAACTAAAGATTTACCAGCTAGCGTTCCATCCGCCACTGTAAAATCAAACATTCAATTAAAATCAGTAAAAAACTTGGAAAGTGAGACAAAAAGTTGCAACTCTGGTAGTGATGATGCGCCATTGTTAGCGAAACAAAAAAATGATCAATCAACTACTGTCACATCACATTGCCACGTTAATCATGTTTGTAAGGAGGAAAAATCTCGGATAAAAATGACAATAGGGGATTCCCCACTACTTAAAAACTCATCAAGCTCCTCCCCACTCCCAAAAATGCAAATTAATCAATTATCATCGAGCCCTGGTCAGAGATACACAGATGATGACTTGGCTATTTTGGACTCACCTGGATATGATGACTCGGCATTTATGGATGAAGATTCGTCGCCTTCTTCTGGGCAGGATTCGTCTGGTGGGGGATTGCGTAATGATACAAACATATTGCACAATAATTCAGATATATTGTGCAATAGAACTAGCATATTGCGAAATAGAGATGGAAAGAAAAAGATGCGACATTCGATATCTGCAATATGGAGAAAAAGCTTCGGAAACTCTTCGTCCCTTGGTACGAACGCATCTGCACAGTCACCCTTACTAATTGCTCTCACTTATCATCATGAGTTTCTTATTACTTTCATTTCTCCAATAATTTCTCGCACACCCCGACCAAAACTTTTCTCTAGTCTTCACTTTTGCATGAATCAAGGCAATCATGATATTTTGGCACTGCAGGTTAAAAGTTTCAAATCCCATTTCCATAACCTCAGCCAAGGTGTAATGGATCATCAAGGTTTGAGATTCAGTGAATTCAATGCCAATTATATTTGCTGTTTTAAATTTTTGAAAATTTAAAATGTTTTCAAACTTCATATTCCCAAGCAATTGCTCACATTGTATGAATCAAAATTTAAGGTCAGTTGTGCAAATCCAGGACGACGGTTTGAACCACATATTGCTGGGGCAATGAATCAGGTGTGCCAACTATTGCCTTAACTGTGTTGCCGGCTATAAAGATTTCAAGTTCAAATCTCATGCCTCACCCATTTAATTGAATGACAAAACTCAAATGGCAATTACTCAATTCACACTATGACTTTGCCGGGTTTTTATTCACTATGTAATACAAAAATAAAACTGGCACAATAGAAAAGTGAAATCATAAGCAGGTCAAATAAAGAAGGTCTTCATAAATATCTGCATTCCGGCGTCAGAAATGGTACTATTGTTAGCTCAAAATTAGGTTATGGTCTTTTCCAATATATTAGCTTCTGACATATCAGTGGCAATTTGCACAAACCCTCGTTCGGATTGTGAAACACTTCTCAATAATAAATAATAAACTCAAGTCAGTTTGGTACAACATGCATGATGAATGGAATGGCCAGTGACTCTGATACAGAGTGTCTTGAAATAATCCTTCAGTTAATACTTTTACCCAGTACAAAAAATTTGTCCGCTACTAATGATCATCCTTTCTTCTTGGTTTATCAAAATAAAAATTTCATGATGAATTCTCACACACGCTCTGTGGAAGTTTCATGATTTTGAATTTCTCTGGAGGAATTCTACCTCATTTGGATATCAATGGATCTTTGCATGATGCGAAAACACCACACAGAAAGAAAATAAGAATAACATAACATCTTTCCACTATACTTGTGATATACGAAATAGCAAGTTATATAATAGTCTACCGTAACTTCTCCAGACAAACCAGGTATAACTTTATCAAACAGGGAATATTCATTGAAAGCTTTTGTTATTTTCATCACTCCAATACTATCAGGCATTCGTGTGGCAACAGCCTCATATGGGTCTGAAGCAAACCAAGTCTTGAAGCCCACTCTTAATCAGAAATGCCATTCACATTTGATTTGTCATCCTCACTGCATGTACAGAATCCCCAAACATTATTTCTGCATGATGCGGCATATCCTGGACAAGGATCGTTCCGAAACATGCATGGCCCTCATTTACAATGCCTGACATGAACAAATAATGTAAAACATAATTTTGTTTTTGGCATATATTGCAGTCTTAATAACATGTTTATTTTATTTCTGCAATACCAAAAGTTAAATGAAAATTAGTTCAAGAATAAACGAACCTCCAGAAGTATGCGCACCAAGATGGCGCACAACCTGAACAGAGTATGTGTGTACCGGTCAGGATTTAGGTTGTGCGATATCTTGGTGCGCATACTTCTGGATCACCGAATAAACTCTATTGAATACAGCTAATATTGATTTGTTTTGACCGGCCAAGATGATTCTAAAATCTATTCTGAATTTGGGGGTTTGAAATACAAATCTAATAACAATAGATATCATGTTGCTAAGATGTATAAGTATACCTCTATAAAATCACTCGGGTGCATTCTGGTAAGTGTTGGAAATACGCTTGCCATCGTACTTTTGATAACCTTTCGCAGGTTCAAAACTCGCGCAGGATAACTATGCTCGAGAAAAATGCTCGACTCCACGCCTTTGTAGGTCAGTTACGGCTTCCTCCACTATCAAGTTCATGCATCTGAAATAAATAACTTATACCGTCTTGTTGGCCTTTCCGTACTCCAGAAGTATGTGCACTAAGATGGCGAACATCGGAACGTCACATGTGTACCAGGTTAGGGTTAGGCCATAATTTCAGGTGCAAATACTACGGGAGTCACTTGCCTAGTCACTGACCTCGTATTAGAACTGAAATAGGTAGAATTGAAATAAAATGATGGCATAATCCTAACCTAGTACACATGCGATGTTTCGGTGTCCACCATCTTGGTGCACTACTTTTAGAGTGCCGGCCTTTCTCCACCAGGATGAATATGAATACACAATGCTATTCTTCTTTTCGTCAGGAATTGTCCACGAGAACATGAGATCGGACGGTGAGAGTGATCAGGCATCGGAACCGTCATCCGATGAAGTGCAAAGTCCTGTGAAAGTGCGACTAAGGTCACAACCAACAATGTTACAACGAAGATTCAGCCAGGTGAGATCTTTTCATTGCTATGTGGGGCGAGAGGAAAGCATAGAAGACTGTGTGGATTCACATGGAATATAGAAGTATAGGTTTAGTACTATTTGAGAGTAAAGAAAGGTCTATAAGACATGTTTATTTTGAGTGGTTTGTGGGTGATGAACACACCGGTCAGTGAGTGGCCACTCTGTGGCAGTGTTATGGAGGCTCGATTCGTTGAATATACTTGAATTGGACCCAAGTCACCATATATCAAGAACACAAAGTGAACAGAGTCAATGAAATGAATCCGACTTAGTCAACAGCCTGTCACACAGTGATTGACACGCCTTAACAGACTTTCCGTCCCATGCCCCAGGCGTTGCAACACACACAGGCTTTTTAACCACTAGGTGTCATGAGATAGAAATTTGAGATATGCTTTTTTACGCCCTCATTTTTGACCTCTCTTAAGGCGACTGGAAAACAATCATAGATCTTCTAGACAGAAAAGTTTGTGTCTTCAGCCCTGATTCACAGTCTGTGAAGATATTACTGCCTCTAGATGGAGCCAGTGAGACACAAGATAGTTTTAGGTGAACATCTGGTAAAAATCAAATATCAAAGTTTCAGAGAGTACAAGATATTTTGTATTAAACTGCAATTTCCTTTCTCCTTGTTTGCTTCTTACTTTGGTTTCATGTGTGGGCTGTAGCTGTGAGGGGGGACTGTAGTGATGAGTAAGAATGCTTATACTTGCTATTTCATGGTCATGATTAGATAGCTTTACATAGACACGCTGGGCAATGGATAAACATTATTGTTATTGTTTTTTCTACCCAGTTGTGGGTACTCCCGTAGTATGTGTACCAGGTTAGGGTTAGGCCATAATTTTATTCCGATTTTCCTTCCTAGTTCTATTATGACTGTCTGGGTTTCAGTTTCTTCATACTAAAACTAAAAAAAAATATAAATGAAGTAGACAACAAAATTAGTTACCTCCATATTTGTAGACACACTTGTTTGTGCATGTACCTAAAGCATCTACTATTAACTTTATTTATACTATGGCATCTTTCGCTGTGGGTTATCACACCATTCAAGGTATGTTTGGTATCCACATGGTGTCGCTCTCTAGTTAAAACACAGAACCAGTAACTTTAGAAACATATGTAAAAAAGGAGGATGTTTTTAAAGATACAGTAACATCAGGCAGAACAAGAGTAAGAAATTATCACAACCTTCATAAATGTTTTTTCCAGCAAAACCGAGCTATATCTGTGTTTGATATACAGTTTATAGGCCTTGAGCCAAGGTGAACCACAGGCCAGAAATGTAATTGCAATCCCATCAATTTCCTTGAGCTTTTTTCAGCTAAAACTTCGAAATTTTGTTTTAGTTTGGTTGTGAACTTGTGACAGCATCGGGTGGGCCAGATTGAATTACTCTGCGGGCCATAATTTGCCCATGTCAGGCCTGGAGTCTATATACCAGACGTGGGCAAAGCGTTCATCTTATTAAACTCTGAATTTTCTGAAGAAGAATTTGTACTGTGAATTCAATCATATGTTGATTGAGTTGACTCACTTGACAAACTCTTAACCTGTTGTGTCATATTTGCTGTAGTAAAGGTTTTTACGTCACATTCTATTTATGAACCTCCCAAAATAATTAACGACCTAAATGAACTGAATTAGCTAGAATTGATGTCATAATTTATCTAAAATTATTTTAATGAAATAAAATTTATAAAATTATCATTGTATAGCAGGGTGTTGTCATAATAAAATCCTTTTTTAAATTTGCCATTTATTAAGAAGAAAGTAGGTTGCCAGTTTTTCAATTTTGTTCTGTCTGCTTTTTTGCAATTTGATTTTTTTTTTTCATCATCAGATGAAATAGGGTGTAGATATTGTTCACTGGTCGTGCAAATTGTTTATCAAAAAGTTAGATGAAATCCTTATTCTTGCTGTCTGGAACAGTTATTATTATTAGGACAAGGTTTTTGGACCAGGGGTCGAATATTTTGCACAAGGCGAAAAAATGGTGTGAAGAGTGCGACACCAAATTGTGTGAGTGAGAAAAGTAAGGTTGTTCAATATTCAAGGGATTCTTTGCTTATGACATAAGCAAATTTGATAAACTGCATCTGTACGACTGTACAGATTGATGGTCCATAAATATTTATAACAATAAAACCAAACAAATAATATGAGGAATTATATGCAGAGTGGTTTCTTCTTCAAACTGTCAGCAGTTAAAAAATTGAAGAGACTTTTGAAGTGATATTACTTTCATAATTTTTCACATTTGATGTTCTTACATGAAATATTTCCAGTTGTTGATTTTACCACAAATTTTGCCATGCAAATTTTTTGTCAGTATATCAGTACAACATATGCAATACAATAAAGATAGGACAACAAAATATTTTTTCCATTTTCATTTTCATGATTTTGCAAATATTAATTTTATGTGCTGACAAAAATAAAAAGCTAAAAACGATAAATACTTGTTACATTGACCCACAAAATCTTGTTTTAATCTTATTTACTGCCGAAAGCAATATTATTTACGGATAAGGGATTTAGTAAAACTGATTTGTAATAAGTGTGCCGCGACTTTTTAAACTTGTTGTTAGTGTGCCGCGAGCTGAAAAAGTTTGGGAACCCCTGCGCTAGGGCATCACGTCTTCTGGAAACGACCAGTATTCTGAGAATGCATTTTATAAAAAGAAACTTCGACAAAACGTCTTGAGTTATTTTAGTTTTCCTTTCGTATATTTTGTCATGTATTGATCTGTCCCATCACACTTTGGAGAATTGTTGAATTAACAAACTTTGATTGATTAGATTTGTAATGCGATGGGAATAATGTTTAATCAACTTCCACTCTTATTAACTTGTGCTATTGATTGGGTTTCTTGGGAAGAATTCTTTAGCAAGAGTGGAAATCGTTGGTGAATTTTAGGATGACAGGACAAATGTTGGAAATATGAAAAACAGTTCATTCAATTATATTTGCGCTAATGATTTGGTTTCTGCTGTCCACCAGCGCAAAGGCATAGAGAAAGAAAAGGTAGTTAGTTTCACGTAACCCCAACTGTTAGTTACACCAACTACTTATCCTCCTTCTATTCTTTTGTGCCGGTGGATCCGTATAATGCAAGGATGCTGTAGCGAGAGTAAAGATAACTATTCTAAATGATTCAAGAGTCTTGCTGTACACTAACACAAATATATTCCTGTGACGTTTTATCTGACCAATGTGTTCAGTCATTTAAAAGTATTACCAAGAATTTAAGCTGGTATCTTAGTTTGAAGCAATATTCACCAAAGCACTTCTATAGAAAGTTACAGGAATTTAGAAAGCAAATATTCATTTTTGTATTTTCTTTAAAATAGCCTTCTAGAGGTTTGCTCTTTGTGATTGAAGCCCTTCATAAATTATTCTGTCATTCATTATTAGGAGTCTTGCTGCACATAATCTATTTCTGTAACGTTTCATCTAACCAACTTTCCTGTGACAACTAGCTTTACTCAGGATCGTTCTCTTTAATTTCTTATTGAGTTTATGTGACCTTGCTTTAAGCAAATATCCCTAAAAATGCATTAGTAGGTTAATGGCAGGGGTTTGAAATGGCAAAGGCTTCGACTTTATAGCCATTCATCTATATCAGGGGTTCGCAGTTTGATGTCATGGAAACCCTAAAGAGCCCCACAATAAATTTTTAAAAATTATCTTTTGGAACTTGTAGATCTTTTTTTAATTAGCACTTTGTTGCCACATTTTGACGCTATTGTTGTCAAATTTTATTATTGCCGTTATTGCTTCTTTGGACAGTTACAAAATTAACCAAGTCAGTATTTTATTAATAGGTAAACGACTATCTCACAGAGCACCTACGATCTATATGACTGTCATCAAACACTTAATTTCTCTTTGTCAATTTGTGTCAGTACATAGAGGATTTGTGTTGATGGACCAGTATGATACTGTAGCAAGAAACTATTGTATCGGTGAACAAACCAATTTCAAGTTTATCCAAAAATTCATTTTCGAAGATATTATTTTTCGAAAGGCTCTATTCATAATATGGGATTATTCGGCCGAAGTCACAAATCCATCCTGCACTCAGTAAGTCTCAGTAAGTCTCCCATTATTGCAGGCGACAGCCAAATAAATATTCTTATCTTATCTAAATATTTATCAGAGATTGACATCCGGCAATCTAATTTGAGATATCGCTGTCTAAGCTGATACGCTTGTTAATTAAACCCTGTGGGCATGATGGCCTAAAGCACTGGTTCTCAAACTTCTTGAAGCCTGCATTTCCTAACAGCTAGTAAGACAGAAAATATGTTTTATTCAAAAAACATGTTATATGTGTACATGATAAAGAAATGTAAACAATAAAAAATGTAAATATCCAAAATAAAGCGGGTAAGATCAAATCTAATGATTATTTTTATTTCCAATTAGCTTCACGTCCCCCTCAAAAAATTGTCCACGCCCCACCGTTTAAGAATCACTGCCCTGGAGGTTTGAGCATTTGTCCTTACTGTGTTGGCATCTAAGTTCGAAGATCTCCGCCCCCCTGCCCACAACCTTGCAATGGAAAGCCCTAAATAATAAAACGAAAAAATTACAATTCTTGTGAAAAAACAGTCGCTTTCTATGTATTAGTGGCATTTGAATGTTAGCGCTTCATATCGAAAAGTTCAATGATAAGTTTGATAAAGCATTTGGATTATATTATATTTCTCAATTTGGGAAGTTCCTATGAATGGAAAAGTGTTTTTGCACAGAAATTTACTGTTTTGCTTTTAAATTTTCACATATCATGAGCTATTTGAAGCAATTCATCGTTGTAAACTGCCTGAGTTTGGTCAGATCAAGCGTTACTAATTAAAAATTGTGGAAGTGTGATGCCAGACTTTAATTGAACAAGTCAAGGCAAAATCAGGTTTTTTTGATCTATGGTGTTAGGATGGAATAAGTTTTTGTTGTTACTGAAATATTATAATTGCAAG